GTTAGATACACACGAATTTTCACAAAGAAAATAGCAAAGACACACTATTAGAAAGAGATTGGCTTAACATTCTCTAAGAACACCAAACACTTGTAACCATAGATTGCAGCTCGCGACTTCTTGTAAGTCTGTGTAACGATCAGAAAGAAACATTTACACAAACAATCACAGTGGATCTAGGATTCGCTCTAAGCATCTGAACCACTATAAAAATCTTATTGTCACATTTACTTTACATCTTTGCATGCTACTATTATCAATGTACCTCACCCACTCACTATAATCATCGTGTGATTTCTTAGCACTTTGTACGTGCAAAGTCGTCGGTGTTAAAATCAAGCATCAACAAGGGGTGTGGCAATTTTTTTTAGTGAGGGGACTCCTGAGTTAAACAACTATTTTTAGTTTATGAATTAGAAAATATATACGTCAATTAAATTAATATGTATGCACGATGTTGTGATGCATGTAATATAGACTGTCAGATTGTCTCCTTCTAGAGTCTCAAACTCTATGAAATGATTTAACTGACTTGAAGCTCCATAGACAAACAACTCTAGAGAAAGCTTTAATAAAATTTGTTTTGGAAGATAAAAAACAAAGACCTATTGTTCACAAATAGGAGAAAAGTCTCTTTCCAAATCCAAACAGCCAAAGTTAATTGCAGCACATCAATTCAAAACGCAACAATTTCTACCTGACTTTGATATACTATCCAGAAATCAACAAAGAGACGCAACAATTTCAAGCACCACCACCATGCTTGCCATCATCCAAATCTTCATTATCTCTTCCAACATCACTACCAGGGATTCAACGACTCAGCAAAGTCACAATGATCAGCATGCATGCCACCAGACTCTTCATGCTGACTAGGCTGACTGAGGTCAGAGCCTTTCTATTGATCAACAAGCGATAGTTCGCTCATCCAATTCTTCCATAATTATTTCGTCCCGTTTTTTATTCATATTTTCTAATGATGTATATAATATTTCTTTTCACTACCGAGCTGAAGATTTTAGAAAAATTAAAATTTGCAAAAAGATTGGTTAATGCAGCAATTCAGACATTGGGATATGCAAATGTTAAAGGATCAAAATAACAATGCCAAAACACAACCAATATGTTTTGTGACTTCATCAAGAATAAAAATTCAAGAAATCTACTTACCAGAAGGTATTCTTGCTTCTCCTCAATCATCTCGGTTCCTTTTAGGACTTGAAATTCTTCCTTAAAGGTTGTCAATATACGTTGAGAACCCTTTTTGATTCTGACATAATCTTCGTGAATTGCTCTTAGATTTCGAATGAGCTCCACATCTCCCCCTTCAGGTTGGTTCTCGTTAATCGGCGAGTGTGGGTTTTGGTTAACCAGCAGTGATCTGTTATGTTCATCCAAATCTTCATACGGAATTACATCTGTTCCAACATCACCAGCAGGATTCTACGACTCAGCAAAGTCACCATGATCAGCATGCATGCCACCAGACTCTTCTTGTCGAGCATGCTGACTGAGGTTAGAGCCTCTCTATTGATCGATAGGCGACACTTCACTCATCTAGTTCTTCCATAATTCTTTCGTTATGTTTCTGATTCGTGTTTTCTAATGATGTATATAGTATTTCTTTTCACTATCGAGCTGAAGATTTTAGAAAAATTAAAATTTGCAAAAAGATGGGTTAATGCAGCAATTCAAACATTGGAATACGCAAATGTTAAAGGATCAAAATAATAGTGTCAAAACAAAACCCATATATTTTGTAGCTAAAGAAAATATAATAATCCATCATCTAGAATCAAGATTCAAGAAATCTACTTACCAAATGTATTCCCGCTTTCCCACAGCCATCTCTATTCCTTTAAAGGTTTGAAATCTTTCTACAAAGGCTCTCAATACACGCTAAGAATCATTTTTTATTCTGGCATGATCCTGGCAAATCGCTCTTAGATTTTGAATGAGCTCCACATCTCCCCTTTCAAGTTGGTTCTCGTTAATCGGCATGATTCTGGCCTGATCTACGCCATGCAAAGCAGAGTAACTGATATCGCAAACTAAGAGGTTTTCAAGATAATTTTGGTAGAAAGGTGTCTTTGTTTTATTATTCCTATCATATCTTATTCAAAATACATATTTGTTTCATTATTCTCAAAATCTAGACCTGTGCAGGGACCGGTCCCAATTAGGGCTACAAACGAACCGAACAGTTCACAAACGTTCGTTGTTCGTTCGATTACTGTTCGATAATGTTCGCGAACATTTGTTCGCGAACAGTTCGATAATTGTTTGATAATATGTTCGATCGAGTTCGAACAGGGGTTGTTCGTTCGATTATGTTCGCGAACACTATACGTTCGACTAATTCATCCGTTCGCGAACAATCGTTCGATTGTTCGTTCGTTTATGTTCGAAAAACAAGGTTATGTATTATTATAATTAAAAAAAAAATTTCCATTTTTATATTATGTTTGATTGAGTTTGGATGAATTTTTTTTAATGGTAATCAATAATAAAATATTATGATACTTTTGTCTTTCTTATATATATAATATGTTTGGATTTTTTTTTCCAAATGTCATCAATAATTAAATATATAAGTATATAGCATTTTAATTAAAAAGTAATAAATTACTATGATACATAGCATGACAAATTTAATAACATAATAAATTGTATAATCAAGTGATAAATAATATAGTAAATCCAATAACATAATAGCTTCATATTTTTCTAAATGTAATCAATAATTAAATATTATAAGATAACATTTCAATTAATAAATAATAAATATAGTATGGTAAATTGATAAACATAACATATTGTATAATCAAGTGATGTATAGCATACCAAATTTAATAATATAATAGTTTAATTAAACCTAAATTAATCACACATTTGTATTGATCACATATTACAATAAACTCTCATATCACTATGAATTTATAGGTGTTGGTACAAAATAAATATGTAGACAGTAATGATAATATATATATATATATATAAAATTAATCACACATATGTATTGATCATATATTACAATAGATTTTCATTTTACTCTAAATTTATGGGTGTTGATACAAAATATATATGTAAACATTTAAAATATTTATGATAATTTATGTAATGATAATAAATATATGATAACCTAAAATTTTGGTAATTTCATAACATATTTAACCTATGATTAATATATGTATGATAATAATTTTGTATATACACAATTACACATTATATATAACAAATTAATCACACATATTTATTGATCATATATTATAATAGGCCATCATTTCACTATGAATTTATGGGTGTTGATACAATATATATATATATATGTATGTATAACAAATTAATCACACGTATGTATTGATCATATATTACAATAGACTTTCACTCCACTATAAATTTATGGGTGTTGATACAAAATATATATGTAAACATTTAAAATATTTAGGTATTTACAAATTATCGAACGAGTTAGTCGAACAGGTATTTACAAATTATCGAACGAATTATCGAACGAGTTAGTCGAACAAGTATTTACAAATTATCGAACGAGTTAGTCGAACAAACAAGTTAGTCGAACGAGTTAGTCGAACAGGTTAGTCGAACGAGTTGCTAACGAACACGAACGAGCTTTTTGTTAATCGAACGAACAAGAACACAGATCCTGTGTTCGTTCGAACACGAACACGAACACGAACAATCGAACATGCTTATCGAACGATTTTCGAACGGGCCCGTTCGTTCATGTTCGGTTCGATTGCAGGCCTAGTCCCAATTGGGTCTAGGTTTGGACCTGATTGGGATTGGTCCCAACGAGACTGATCCCATTTAAGACCAGTCACTCATAGGCCTCGGACTGATCCCAGACCCATGTTAAATTTTAGGGCTCGAACCGATCCTTAGGATCGGTCTTATGGGCCTAGAAAATTTTTTTCACCCCTAATTTTTTTTATATTTAAGGGGCCAAAAAAATTATGTAGGGGGGTTTATACAATTTTTAGGGGCCGAAAGAATTTTTTCCACTTGAAAATTATTAAATTTTGTAAAATATCAATTTAACTCTCAATATTTTTGTTAATTTCAAAATTTATAGGGGGTTTTTGGATATTTTTAGGGGACCATTTAGAAAAAATGCAAAGGGGTTTGGGCCCAGGCCTGGCCCTTAGAGGAGGGCCCGATCTAGGGATCGGTCCCTCCTCTATGGCCCTGGTCCGGGTTTAGGACCAAGCCTAGCACCGATTTTTTGGGCTGGTTTTTTGGAACCAGTCCCAAATGCCCAGGTTTATCAAAATCCAATCATATTCTATTCAACTCAAAATATTTAGATTTTTTTAACCCCCTAGATTTGTTAATTTAACTAAACACCCCCAACAATAAAAATTTATAAATTGACAAAAACACCCCCACCCACCCACCCACCCACATGTTCTCGATAGCCGGTGGCCGGCTGCTGGCATTTAATAGGTGGGTAGGGGTGTTTTTGTTAAGTTTAAAACTTTTATTATAGGGGGTGTTTAACTAATTAACAAATATAGGGGATATTAAAAAATAATCTTACCAAACACATTTAAGCTCTTTCTCTCTCTCACTCAGCCCGTTGGTGAGTCTTGCCACCGTCCGTTGGAGCTCTTTGTTGTTCCCATCTCTCTTTTCGAGCTCGACCTTTTGGAAGTCTGTGGCCTGAAGTCCAGAATCTCTCTCTACCAGGTACTGATTCACCTGGATGTGAGCCGTTTTAGCCTCCGCATCCATGGCCGCAAGGTCCTACTTCAGCTTGACATTCTCCTCTTTCAGCTTGTGGAGATTGTTGGCAGAGTCCATATCAATCTTTTGCTAGGCCACGGTCAGGGCGAGCAGGGACTGCATGGGAAAAGAGACAAAAGTTAGTTTCCTTCTCTCAAAATCATAAAAAGCTAAGACGGTTCTCAAAGGGAACAGGTCGTTTTACCTGACTGTGTAGTTAGAGCGCGGTAGCTGTCAGGTTGGTAGGTCGAGAAGCTATGAACTCCTCAAAGGCTGAGGCATCCAGCAGGGTGTACATTATCGGTTGCAAGTGCCCTGGCAGTTGCCCTAGGGAATCCAGCATGGACGAGTTTGGCCCTGAGGGGGCAGGTACATCCTCGACTCATTACTTGCTCACTTTCTTTCGAGTAGCCGTGGTCACTCCTGCTCCTTTGCGCGAGCTCCCGGGGGCCGTTAAAGTACGGAGGGTGCCCCTCAAGGGTATTCTCGAGCGAGTGACAAGGTAGGGTTGGGTTCTTTCTGATAGTACCCCGAGGCCCTCTGGCTTTGACTACGTTTCCTCCTCGGTGGTCAGCTATTTCCTTTTCTTGGTCTTCTGGCCCATGGTTCTCTACTTCGTGGCATGAGCGGCCACGAGTCGAGGAGCTTCTTTGTGTCACTCTATGGGTGGTTGCCTTTTGGCGCTGATCTGTACCCTTCCTATGAGGATGGCACTAGGGGTCACTTCGGTTGGCTTAGTTGGGTTGACCTGGGGGAATGCAAACCCTACAGCCTTTATCGATGGCGTTGGAACCCTTGGCGACATGGTCGCTGCACACCATGAAAATGTGTTAGCAAAAAAGTTATCTTTGGTACAAGGCTAAAAGATCTTCAAGATACAAAGATACTTACGGGTTGGAGCTTTCAAAGATGTCTTAAGGTTGAAAAATTTGTACTTTTGCAGGTTAGCATTGGTCATGAGCAGTCTTGTGTCACGACTCTAATTGGGAAAATGACCAAACACCTCCATACGATTGAAATCTGCTAGAGCCGTCAACCTGGTTGTCTTGTTCTCTACGAAAAAGAAAAAATTATATTAGTCTTAACTATTAAAAGAGAGTTAAAGGAAAAGATAATCAGTTTGGAAATTAAAAGGGACAAACCTACTCGGCTCCTTAAATTTACAGACACCATCGTACTGAAAAAGAAATATTTGGTGTCATAAGCCCCAATGTTGCTAGGGTAGCCAAATATCCCTCCCTTGATCGTAGATCGCTTCGAGAGGTAGAAGGAATTTTTGTCCTTGCTTTTCTTTAAGTAATAGGCACATGAGAGTTCCAATGTTGTTAACTCGTCGAGTTCATGTTCATGGCATGTAATAAACATAGCAATCGCAGTCATGAACGCGCTAGGATTAGTTGGAATGACGCGACCTCGAAGTGGTCGAGGATCGATCTGATAAATGGGTGAAAAGGTATCTTCACCCTGCATTTGAAGATTGCATCTGAGATAGTAGTCATTCCCTCTAGAGTGTCCTAAGCAGTGTGCGACCTATGCTAGTAGATGTTTACATTGATCGCAAACTGGTCTACTGCTTTTTGAATCTCATCCGTAGTGGCAGTTGATAGCACCGCCTATGCGGGACCTGTTGAAGTGTTCGAGGGCTGCGAACTAGTTCCTTCAATTGCTCTCATCTCCGAAATGTTCATTACTCCTAAAGTTTGAAAAGGTGTGACACGTAGAGGTGACTTAGTCTCTATACACAGTGTTTCGTTTGACCTTAAAAGAGTAAGAAAAACCCTAATTTTCTTCTTTAACTCCTAAAAACCCTAAACGTCCTTGAGAATGAGTTCCTAAGGATATGTGCCCTAGATTTTCAATTCTTAAGAGTGTTCCTTTTTTGAACACCACTCCAGAATGTGCATCATGTAAATTTACTAGGTGTTCAAACCCACAATTGCTGTGAAAGAACCGAGTTTTTAACAGAAATGAAAAAGAGAAAGGGAAGGATTTTCGTTACCTCTTGGTTACTGGCGATGAACGCTCTGTCCTAACGGTGAGTGCGCATCAACTGGAAGACGGATGAATTGGTTTCTTGAGTGCAAAAACTCTATTTTTCTCTCTAAAGATTTGAGTTCTGTGAAAATTCTAAAGTAGGCTTAGGGTTTTATAGGGAAAAAGGCAACGTTTGTTTTTCTTTGCAAGCGACGTTTGGGTAGGACATGTTCCCAACCGTTGGATGCGACCACGTGTCGCCAATGCTCGTGAAGAGTAACCTTCACGTTTCGTGAAGATCAATCGACGTTTCCCTCCATTGAAGACACCAAATGTCAGTGTGGTTATCTTCACCACATTAAATGCGCCTTCATCCACATTTAATACTTTAAAAGAGAGTGTCATTTCAGCATGACTTGCATTTAATGTTCATGACTGATACTTATTGCGCAAAGACACGTCTGTCAGATAAATCTTACTTTATTGACCAGGCCAACTGTCAAACGCAACAGATAACATCTGAAGAGGTTGTTCGAGTGAAACACTCTTCTCCGAGTATTGAGCTTGAAGGAAAATGACGTCTGATTTTCAGTAAAAATATTCTAAGTGTTTTCAGGTCATGAGCAATGGGTAAAGTTCGAAGAACGTTGGTATAGCACTAAGCAGGATCCGACCCCAGGTCGTTGAACCTTTAGGGGATGATCACCTCAGGTCGCTTGTGAAGCTCGCCAAGCCCACATCACGACCTCCACTCAGTTCGCTAGTCGAGTTAAGTCATGAACTTAGTGTTATCTCGGCCATTCTCCATTTGCAGTTTGAGCAAGCGATCCTCGAGATGAGTTAAATCAAGGCATAATAGTGAAGTTTTCAAAGTTCAAACCTTGAACCTTAAGAACTGGGGGGCCTTCTGTTATGCCTAAAAAATTTGGGTTGGCATAGGCTTACATCAGCGAGGACCAATCAGAGTTTAGAAAGACATTGTGTCGTCTAGGCGCTACCACGTCGTCCAAGGACAGAAGAAGTAAGATTGTCATCAACTTGGCAGGTGAAGGCCTGGCTAGTGAGTGGCTCGAAGTCACCCACTTGCCCAAGCCCTACTCGATTTAAGGATATCTACCATGCAGCCAGCCAATGGGAGGTAGGGTAGGAATTGTACGACACCTGTCTGCTAGCAGACTCGTAATCATTACCCATAAACCTCTTACTATAAATAGAGAGCTCCCCTCTCATTATTCGGATTCAAATTTTGATTTTGATACTGAGAACCCAAAACACTCACTCTCCCTCTCTGTATTTCTATTTCTCTGATCACTACTTGCGACCTAATTGTAATCTTCCATTTATAAAAAGATAGTGGACGTAGGATTCACTTTGAGCATCCGAACCATTTTAAAAATCGTCTCCCTTTTATTTATTTCATTTCCAGTTCACATGTAATTTCTAAGTCCGTTTAGCACTTTACATGTGCGAATAGTTGGTGTCAAAATCAAGCATCAATAGAAATAATATATATTTTGAATCTTACATCAAGAAAAATTGAAGGCCCTTCAAAGTGAATGTCAACATATTTGATCAAATCCATGAATTAAGAAAAAATATGTTAAACAAACCTCATTTTTCCTAGCCACTGTGTCTATGGTCTCCAGCCCCATTTCCAATTTCGGTTCAACGCTTGCTTTGTCTTTACTCTTTCCAATTAGTTTCCCATTCATGCTAGTTACCTAGTTATGTATAGCTGTAAGTGGCTGTGGATGCTATCGTAACAACAGGAACCAAATGACAATTTATAAAACCTGGAGGGTTGTTTCAGATGTTTCTTAAACAAATGAAGTAGTGGGAGAAATTTCCGAACACTACAGGGGGTTAAATTAATTATCGTAAATATGAAGGGGGAATCAATTGAAGTTTATCAATAAAATCATGCTAAAACGCTGTCGTTTCTGGCTTCAGATAAACCTCATCGGAATCAGTTACTTCTAAAACCCTAAAATCACAGGCTAACGAAGAAAAAGAAAATGAATAATAAGAAGTAAGAAACAGTGAAGGAAATATTCGCGTCGTGCTCCTTTACCAGCCTCGGCCTTCACTCCACATTATGTGACCAGCTTCGAGGTTTTCTCGAAAACCCAGTTTTGTTTGAAAAAATACATTTTTTTATGTTTGTTTAAAGCTAATTAGACTGAAAATATACGTCATTTGTGTACAGAAAGATTGGGATTCGAAGCTCCCACTCTTGTGCAGGCTGAAGCCATTCCTGTTATTCTCGCTGGTCGACACGTGTATCATCCTTTCCTTTGTTCTCTTACTTTTTATTGTTTTGTTGATGATTTTTTCTTTTTAATAGTTTTGTTCTGTTGATGTTTCTTTTTTCCAAAAATATAGACTTGTTAATGCAGCAACTGGGACTGGCAAGACGGTGGCGTATTTAGCTCCCATTATTCATCACTTGCAGAGTTACACTCCACGAATTGATCGTTCTTACGGAACTTTTGGTAAAGAATAGAAAACAATTGAGTTTTTGAATGTGAGAATTTTTGTTTATAATATGATACATCTTAATGTGTTGATTGTTTGGTAGCATTGGTACTTGTGCCCACACGAGAATTATGCCTGCAAGTTTTTGAGATTTTGCACAAGTTACTGCATCGTTTCCATTGGATTGTGCCAGGTTATGTTATGGGTGGTGAGAATAGATCAAAAGAGAAAGCCAGGTTGCGCAAAGGTAAACCACTTTCTAAACTTCCTTAACAATGATTGTACATTTAGAAAGACTTACTAGTTATTGTAGGTGTAATTTCGTCGATTGGTAAATTCATTTTGCATTATTAAATGCTTTTTAGGTATATCTATTCTTGTTGCAACACCTGGACGCCTTCTGGATCACTTAAAGCATACAACAGCATTCTTACATACAAATTTACGTTGGATAATCTTTGATGAGGCAGATAGGTATAGTTTCATAGGTTAAAGTTGAGTTACAGGTTCTTAACAAATTCTGTCTTCATTAACTCTTGATGTGCTCCTTGACAGAATTCTGGAATTAGGATTTGGAAAAGAAATTGAGGAGATACTAGATATTTTGGGTTCGAGGAATGATGGGTTTGTTGGCAAGGAGAAGGAAGATTCTAACTTTAAGAGGCAGAATTTGCTATTATCAGCTACCTTAAACGAAAAAGTAAATAATCTTGCGAGAATTAGTTTAGAAGAGCCAGTTATGATTGGTCTTGATGACAAGAAGGTGCAACAAGATGCATCACATGAACAGAGTGGATCTCTGGGATCTGTTGTGGACAAAGAACTTGAACATCCGAGTGCAGTGATGAGCTCTTCAAGTGGAGACTACAATCTTCCAGCTCAGTTGGTTCAGAAATATGTAAAAGGTATATTTTGATTCCTTGGTGAACCTTTAACCTAGGTTAGAGTGATAAACATCTCAATGAATTTTATGCAGTTCCCTGTGGTTCACGGCTTGTGGTCCTTCTTTCCATACTCAAGCATCTTTTTGAAAGAGAAGCTTCCCAAAAGGTGAGACTTATTTTAATTTTTTAATTGCTCAATGCAGTTTCAAGTACCTTTCTGTCTTCTGTGATCAATTCCAATTCCAAATCCTTTTAAACCAATATATTTCATGAGAGATGCCGAGTGCAATCTTATTAAACATTTTATTTTTCTTTTGTCAGATTTCTGATGCTATTTTCTAATATGAAGTCAATTACTAATTAATTTGCTTTGACTTGATCTTCATTTGAACTAGCGAAACAATTTGTGCTCCCTTTTTTTTTTTTTTTTAATTTTTTTTTTGGAGTTCAAGAACTGATCCGAGAAAGTTGTTATCATTTCTTCTGGCTTATAATTACATTTAAGATATGGTGGTTAACTTTTCATTGTCTGATTTGGTATTAATTTGTCAAGTTCTCTACATACTCCTATAGGTTGTGGTGTTCTTTTCAACATGTGATGCTGTGGATTTTCACTATTCTCTGTTGAGTAAATTCCAGTGGTCACCCTATACACAACAAGATGCAGAAACCAAACAGCTATTTTTGAGATGCAAAACATTCAGGTTACATGGGAATATGAAGCAAGAAGATAGAAGAACCACATTTGGGGCCATTAAAACAGAGAAGTTGGCACTGCTATTGTCCACAGATGTTGCCGCTAGAGGCCTGGATTTTCTGAAAGTTAAATGTATTATACAGTATGATTCTCCAGGGGAGGCTACTGAATATGTGCATAGGTATTTAGACTTGTCTCTGTTGAAATTTTCATTTCCAGTAATTCATAGGCTGTTTTCTTTCATTTTTGAGGATTCTTTGTGCTGCATTCTTATGACTGGCATACATTTTTTTTTTTTATATATATACTATTGACATGTATCTTAAATTTACTTGCAATTCTACTTTTCTATCATTATTAAATTGTACTCAATGGTACTTGTTTTTATGTCTTTCAAGTGAAAGGCGGAGATTCTTGATGTTTTTGTTGAGACAGATAGATGTTTGGCAGGTGCTTGATGCTAATTGTTTTTATCTGTAATGCAGGGTTGGTAGAACCGCTCGGTTGGGTGAAAGAGGAGATTCGTTGTTATTTCTACAGCCAATTGAAGTGGATTATCTGCAAGACCTGGAGAAACACGGTGTATTATTGACTGAGTATCCTCTCCTCAAAGTGTTAGATGGTTTTCCTTTGTATGGTCATGTACCTCGAGTGAAGAAATTTGTTTCCACAGAGTCGCATCCTTGGGTATTAACTCTCCAAAAAGCACTTGAGTCGTTTGTCTCAGCTGAGGTATGACACTGGGTATTTCTGGTGATGAATAATCATACACTAGTATTATGTTGACTGTGATTGATCTTTACGTAGTTTGAGTATGTAGTATGTACTTGGGAAAAGCCCTTCAGAGACATTAAACTCTGCACTGAGCATTCCTTACGTTTTTGGCTCGTTCTTTAGACCATAATTGGACCTACTGGCTCTAGTTTCTTTTTGTGTGCTCCAAGTTGATGGTTTTGGTTTGATGCCTTTCTGCAGCCAAAGATGAAGAAACTAGCCCAGAATGCTTTTTGCTCCTGGGTTCGTGCATACACTGCCCATCGTGGTGAGCTGAAAAGAATGTTTATGGTGAAGAAGCTTCATTTAGGGCATGTTGCTAAGAGCTTTGCATTGAAAGAGCAACCCTCTTTGGTCGGGAAATCATTCCAGTCACAATCAAAGAAAAGGAAGAGGGATCAGAAACAGAAGGGACAACAGAAAAAAAGGAAGGTTTCCGGTAAAACATAATTGGCGAGTTGATGGACAGATTTTGAAAGTGCGACATGACATCTGTTGATCATCTTGAGCAGTTGCCGCATGCGAAAATACCTGGATCAGATTTGTTGTCTTTCACCAACGTTGTATGATCCGGTGGTGGTTGGCTGGGTCATTTGGTTCTTTGCAATGGAGAAATTATATATCTTATAGGAAGAGGCTGTTCAGGCAGAGTTGTAACTGTAGAGTATTATTTACTTCTCACAGTGTAGCTTATATCAAAATTTTGACAGAAACATGATTATAAATGGTAAATTTGCTTTCTGATTTTGGTATCGGTAATATCCATGTCTGGTACAAAACAATTTAAACAAAGGACCCATTTGCAAAATCTCAATCTTTCAGCTTCACCAATGAATTTATAGCAAACTCTATCCTAACAATCTACTTCCTAAACCACCTAAAATAACTTTGCCTACAGGAACAATGCTGATATGAATTTCAAGTTATGCATTATTCGACATCTTTCTTTTTTAAAAAACTCACATTTCTCAACACAATCCCTAATCAATTCCAAGATCAAAAACCTTGCCCAACAAGGGCAATACATAGAAGCACTGAAATTATACTCAAAAAATCCAAACTGTCCTTTTAGTATAACTAAATTCACCTTCCCTTCAATTCTCAAGGCTTGTGCTTCACTGACAAATCTTCAATATGGAAAAACAATTCATTCGACAATCATTACCATGGGTCTACAATCTGACCCATATATTGCCACTTCTCTTATCAGTTTGTATGTTAAATGTGGGTCACTTCCACTTGCAGTTCATGTGTTTGATAAATTGTCGGAGAGGGAGGTTTTAGCTCAAGATATATCAATTTGGAACTCTATGATTGATGGGTACTTTAGATTTGGTCATATTATAGAGGGAATACATCAGTTTTGTCGAATGCAATCGTCGGGTATAAGACCTGATGGTTACACATTAAGTATTCTACTTGGGGTGTGTAGTAGTAGGGATTTGGGATGTAAAGAAGGAAGACAGATTCATGGTTATATCGTAAGGAACATTGGGAATGGTGACTCGTTCTTGGATACTGCAATAATTGATATGTACTTGACTTGGGGTCAGTTAAAATATGGTTGGCGAGTGTTTGTTATGCTGAGTAATAAGAGCAGTGTGGTAGTGTGGAATGTGATGATTGGTGGATTTTGTGAGAAGGGCTTATGGGAATGTAGCTTGGAATTGTATTCATTAGGGAAGAATGAGGATGTCAAATTTGTGTCAACTTCGTTTTCTGGTGCTTTGACTGCTTGTGGGAATGGTGAAGATGAGAGTTTTGGTATGCAGGTTCACTGTGATGTGATCAAAATGGGATTTCAAAGTGATCCTTATGTTTATACTTCTCTATTAACTATGTATGGCAAGTGCAAAATGATTGAAGCTGCAGAAGAAATTTTTCATCTGGTACAAGAAAAAGAGATTGAAATATGGAATGCCATGATTTCAGCTTACACTAATAATGGCTATGCTTATGATGCTTTGGAAGTTTATAAACAGATGACATTAAATGCAATCCCATCTGATTCTTTTTCAATTTTGAATATATTATCATCAAGCGGTACAATTGGACTACATGATTTTGGTAGGTCAGTTCATGCAGAATTAGTCAAAAGACCTATACAGAGTAATATTGCTTTACAAAGTGCCTTATTAACCATGTATGCTAAGTGTGGGAGTTATCCTGACGCTAAGTTGGTTTTCAGTACAATGAAGGAAAGGGATGTGGTTGCATTCAGCTCTATGATATCTGGTCTTTGTCATAACAGTAAGTTTGAGGAAGCTTTGGATTTTTTCAGAGGTATGGAGGTAGGTTTATTTAAACCAGATTCTAAAATTATGGTAAGTGTTATCAGTGCATGTTCAGGACTGGAGAATGTAGATTTGGGCAGACAGATCCATGGATTTGTTATCAAGTGTGGATTTCAACTGGATTTTTTTGTGGCTAGTTCCCTGATAGATATGTATTCCAAATGTGGTTCTGCGGAATTTGCAGGAAATGTATTTTCTGATATGCCACATAAAAATCTTGTTGCTTGGAATTCTATGATTTCATGTTATTGCCGCAATGGTCTACCAGAACTGTCAATTAAGTTTTTTCGTCAGATTGTGCAGCATGGCTTCTACCCAGATTCTGTATCCATCACAAGTGTTCTCGTTGCAGTTTCATCAATAGCAGCACTGCTTCAAGGGAAGATTGTTCATGGATATCTAACTAGACTGAAGATTCCATGTGATGTTCAAGTGGAGAATGCATTAATTGACATGTATATCAAGTGCGGATTCTTAAAATATGCGCTGTATATCTTTGAAAACATGTCTCAGAAAGACTTGGTAACATGGAATTCAATGATTGCTGGTTATGGATCTCATGGAGAATGCCTTAAAGCAGTGGAGCTTTTTGATCAGATGAAAAGATCAGGGGTAAGACCTGATGGTGTAACTTTTCTCTCCTTGCTTTCATCTTGCAACCATTCTGGTTCGGTAGAGTCAGGTCTGAATCTATTTCAATCCATGAAAGTGGACTACGGGATTGAACCTAAGATGGAGCATTATGTAAACATTGTTGATCTCCTAGGGCGTGCTGGACGCTTGGATGATGCCTACAGCTTTGTAAAAAGCATGCCCATTGAACCTGACAGGAGTGTTTGGTTGAGTTTGTTGTGTGCCTGTCGAGTTCATCGTAGTGTGGAGCTTGGAGAACTGGCAGCTCAAAGCCTACTAAAGCTGGAGCCAAGCAGAGGCAGCAATTATGTTCAACTGTTACATCTGTATGGAGAAGCTGAAATGTGGGATCAAGCAGCCAACTTAAGAACCTTTATGAAAGAAAAAGGATTGAAGAAGAACCCTGGTGGCAGTTGGATTGAACTGAGGAACAAGGTTGATGTTTTCTTCTCCGGAGATTCATCATCGGAAAGCACTATTGAGATATATGAGACTTTAAATAGTCTTAGAAAGAACATGGATATGAAAACATGCGATTATGAAAGTGTTGAAGCCTACTGAGACCCCAAAAAATGAATTGTGTTTTGATATGAAAGTGCAGAAAGCTCATTAAGTGAGATTTCATGCTTGATTTTGTCATTGCTCCTTCCCCTACGCGATGCAAAGCAAAGTAACTAATATCATGAACTAAGAAATCGTCAATGCTTAATTGCTTATGGTTTTCAGACAGTTTTGGTAGAAATGAAACTATTAACAGTCCATAATCAGATGTTGCATTTGATTTAAACAATTTTGTCGCAAAAAAAAGAGTTATGAAGATAACAATCCTAAACCATCCCATTTCAATTAAATGCCGGACCGAACAGTTGTATGACATACAAAGGCTGCAAAAATATTTTGAATGTAATGTCATCCTAACTCTGTAGAATCACTGGAATTAGGATACTATGATGCATGCAATTCATGCTTCTTGAACAAATCAGTTTCTGCTATCAAGTAATTAAAAACAACTATTAGCAAAGGCATTGCGTGTCAAAGAGCCTAAATGGTTCGGATTCTAAGTTCGTTTCCCCAAAAAGCTCCAAATCCTGAGTCTAGTTGTGATGCATTAACATCCACAAACATAGGAGAGAACCTGTAATTGTGTTGAGGTACTTGAACTTCAACTGCCATTCAAGAACTTTTCTGTATATCTTTCTCCCATTCAGTGCAAATAAGAGGTGTGATAATTGTTTTAGTGAGGGGACTCCTGAATTAAGTAGCTATTTGTACTTTGAGTTCAACTGCAAAACAGGAGACTTGGGGCCATTACTCTCTTTTGTCCTCTTCAAGATCTTCACCTAGCCCAAACACATGAGGTTCTGCCACAATTGACACCTTCCTTTCCTTTCTTTCCACCTTGGTTGTTAAATCTCCCACCAGCATAACACTACTGCCAGTAAGTGAAATGCTCTCCTCTTCAAGGTCATCTCCTGTCTCTTCCGAAAATGAATATCTGCAAACCGCAAAAATCATCATCAAGTAGGGAAAAAAAAAGAATCTGTATTCCTCGAATTCTCTAAGCAAACCAGAGTGGCTCATGTATCCTTTTAAAGCACACATTAATACTCTAGAACGGGGAGTTCAATCAACCATTGAATATAGTTTTCCATAAATCTCCACAATAGATGCAAATGCTGCTCAAAACAAGTTCATCGAATAGCAGTCTGTAAGATAATGATGGGTTCCAAAGATGACCTATTTGGGTTATGTGACGGGGCCCAGAGAATGCATACTATCACCAAGAGAATATATGCAAGCAAAGTCCAGAAAGCTGGAATTATCCAAGCTCTTCGCCACAGTTCGTTCAATGGATCGGCTGCATTAAAGTACAACTGAACAACAACAAATTGCTTGAGTGTAAGTATATAACTTAAATAAGTATAGTGCAATTTACGGGTAATACGTTCCAGAAGCAAATCTGAATATGCAAGTGAACTTTAGTTAAGGTAAGAAGTAAAAATGATTTTGAACAAGGGGCTTTTTCTATCCTCAGTGAGAAGCTATTTGTGATTTAAATTAACATTATAAAATCATTGTTAGAAGCAAGAGAAGAAATATAAAAATAAAATAATAATAATAAAAAAATAAAATCCGAAGAGAATAGAAATAATCTACCTCATAACCAATCCAAGCAACAGAAAGCAGAACTGTTACAGCAAGGGAGTTGGTAAACTTCCGGTACAGTGCAAATTTGGCCATGCTCTTTTTAATCTGTTAACAAAGCATAGGAAACAGCAGAATTGCTTAAGAAGTTAAATTTATAGGGCACATTATGTGTTTCTCTCTGTGCGTGTATGTGGCTGTGCACGCATATAGGATTAAAAAATGCAGGAAAATCAATCATTTTGTCAATCTAATGGGTTACCAGAACCAATCAAATTATTATATCGCACAGAACATCTTCGAGTATATAGCTTTTTAGAACTACCGCAATGCCTTAAATAAAATTTATAGTAGCATNCACCGCAGGTCCACAATCACGGTTCGATTGACATCAATGCTTCACCCCGCCTTACGAAAATCTCAAATCTTGATCGCATTTCCATTAGCTCCATTTTGGGACTTCACCCATTGGATCATGGCCAAGGCCCTTCACATCAACTAATTGCTTTTTGCTTTTATCAGTACCGTCGTTAATTAACTTTTAAGTTTATTTAGAAACGTTTTAGGCATGTTTGAAATAAGATTTATTAACTAAAATATCAAGTTTCCAACATAACCTCACAACCTTAATGTATAGGTAGATCGGTGCTTTTACGTTAGCTCCCACCACATCAAGACACCAAAGACATTACTAGAAATAATTATTTATAAAGGAATTATTGTTCTTTGAAGAACAACCATTAATTTCATGAAGAATGATTGTTTTTTCCATAAAAAATGATTATTCATTATTTATGAACGATTATTCATTTGGTTGTTCTTTCATAAGAAATGGTCATTTCTTTCGTGAGGAACGATTATTCCTTCATAAAGAACGATCGTTTTCTATAAAAGAATAACTGTTTCTTTGGTCTAGTCAAAATTATTTTGTCGTGACAGTGCTGATTTAATTGCCTTGTTGGGAGTTGTAAGAAAAATTTATGAGAAAAAGTTGTTGGCCTAGTATTTACTCATTTATTAAATATATTATTATATTTTGGTTTTGTTTTTTTTTTTTTAAACCAGTTTAAAATGTGATGAGATAATAAATACAAAATAAATACGTGCAGCCAGGGTTTTACAACCCGACCCATGGAGTGACCCGGTCACCAAATTAGCCGGTCGAACTGGTTCAACCGTCAGGTCGAACCGTGATGTCATCATATTGATGTCAGTATGATGACGTCATTATGACATATAAAAAAAAAAAAAAACGGTTCAACTGTTGGTTCGAACCGATTAGATCGATGGTTCATAACAAAAAATTCGATACAACCGCGGTTTAAAATGGATTATTTGAAAATTTCAATTTTTTAGTCAAACCAACTTGTCTCGATCACTGGTTCTCGGTTCAACTAGTTGAGCTAACCGAGCCAGACCAAGTTTTAAAACCATGCCTAAAAAAAGCATGAGATTTATGGACCTTATCCGAATGTTGCAATAATTCTACATTAACATTTGAATCAAATAAATTAAAAAATGAATTTGCGTTTTTAATTAAAATTTTCTAACACACAGAGCTGAGGATACTTAAATTCCTTCAGTGGCTTTAATGTAGATAAATCGTGGAACTTGTAGCTGGCTCGTCTCGTGAACCATCACGAGCCAAGCATGCAATGCACGTGATAAGATTTAAGGACGCAGTTAATCATTATTTAAATGGTTATTAACATAAAAAGGTAAAATTAATTAAGAGAACAAATAATTACTGTCAGGAGAAAAGTATTAGAAAGTGACCAATGGAAAAAAGGATACATGTGACGGCTTTTGTTTCCTTATACACACCAATCAATGAGATTAATCACATATAGATTTATCTTGCAATATTGTCAGAACGGTGACCATTCAGATTCGTCTGTTCCACATTCACGTGGCATAAAAGTAGCGACGGAGCGTGGCGTTCGTGTGGCCTTTTGTTGCCTTGGGATTTGGGGTCAATATTGGGAAAAGTAATATAAGAATTTTCAAAATTCCCGCTAAGGTGGTTGTGTTGACAATTTGGCGCCATGTGCTTGACTGTAGAGGCATTCTTTTCCCGATCAATCATGTTACATTGTCACATTTGACAATTTTTTTTTTCTTAAAATATATATATAGTTCTACCAGACAATCATAATAGTTCGTGATGGATGGATTAGTTCGTAAAATAGGTTTAGACTATTTTTCTGGTCTTGTCTATTCATTTATAAATTAATTAATAATAAATTAACATATCGACGGTTATAGAAAAAAGTTTTTTCTTCTATTCTTTTAATTTTTATTTATAAGTATGAAACCATTAAAAAAAGTCAATGGTAACACTAAACAAGACAATGACACTAAACTTATCACCATAAATTTTGTAATTGTCTTGTGTGATGGATACTGCAACCTACCTTTTAACCATTCTAACTCCACAGAGTCAAGATTGAGATTAGTTCTCACTTCTCATCTCATAATTACTAGTAGCAATTAAATCTAAAATTTTAACCTTAACATCACCATAATGGAAATAGATCGATAATTTCAAAGTTCTAGGGATTAATTAAGATGCGCATAAATTAATTTTAACATCTCCAATCATTAAAAAAAAAAAAAAAAAAAAAAAGAGGATAATGGAGACAGACATCGGCATTGTGTTGATAAGGATTAAGTACATCAACTACTCAAAGTTGTAAAAAGCCGGCAAGCGTTATAGCGATCTCTAACCAACTTTCGAGTCCACAGTTTACCTACCCATTTGGAACCTCATAAAAAAATTTGGTAACAAACAAACTCCAACGCAATTATATCCTTTCGGTTAAAAAATTAATCGTCAGAAAATATGAACAACATATGAGATAAACTTTTTCAAAACCATATTGAAAGAATGATAATGATGATGGTAGATTTTGGTGTATAATGGTGACATGTGGGCTTCACCACCTGTCCCAGCCATAACGCGCTGATGCTTACTGCTCATCCTCTAGTTCGCCTAAAGAGAAAAGGGTCAATTTTTCTTTTTCTGATTTTTGAAATTGCTACGTGATCTTTAGAGAAAACACAGTCATAAAATATGTACCATCTGCATCATGTGAGCAATTCAGCATTGTTCTCAAGTTCTCAATTAGAAAAGTCGGGTACCAATATATTGTTGTGTCGAGCAGCCCACGTGCAGTGATTTTACCGCATATTTCTCACTGGCAACATGAGAAAATGATTTATTGGGAAAATGAAGACACGAAGAATATAAACTAACCATCTGTTTGCAAGTAAATTATTGAAGATATCATTCACATACTCATCCAATTAATAAAATATCTTCCTGATCTTTTCATCTTGTTTGTTCCTTCATCACCATGATATGGTTTTGAAATTGTATTTAAAAAAGAAAACAGATGATCATATGCTAAGTCCATTTCACGTAAAACTCTTGTTTTCTAAATACTTACAAATTAAAGTCCTTATTGATGAATTGGTGTGCAACCATTTGAGGGGCCAATTCTTGGTTCAACTTATTATGGAATTATTGGAAGGACCACTTTGTATCACCTTCATGACCAAGTTTCTTCATCACATACCTGTTGTCCACACACACTTTTAGAGTCCAGTCTTTCTGAGCCACTAAGTACCTTTGTTTGTGTCCAGCCAAGGGACAGCACCGGGCACTCACTGATGTACTCTCCTTCACTACATCCCTCTACATGTTTGGATTAATTAGTTGGATAGATGTGACACAATGACTAGTTTGTGCGACTTCCATACGCCGAAAGGTCTAGTTAAAATAAATATCTACCCCTTCAATATTTGTGTCCACTTCATTGAAGATTTTGATTCCGGAGGTTTAATCGAATTTTGATAAATAAGTTTTATTAGTTATTCAACTTTTCCATATAATTAAAGATATTATAATTTGATTAATTTATACAGCGAGGAAATCAAAATCATTTACTTATATGACGTTTATGTGTTAAATGTTGAAGTAATTTCCGACTTTATCTTCACATAAAAGGAAAGGGGCTGGTTGGAAACTTGGAATTGGGTTGGGCTAGACACTTTCAAGTTTCAAGACAATAATTACGGAGTGGTTGACCCAGCGCTTTCGTTCAGTGTAATTGTGACAACGGAGAAGAACAAAAAAAAATTCTGAAATTAATTAAAAAAAATATATAAGAAAAACAGTCCTCTCCATCTCCAACGATTCAATTACTAACACGTGGTGGTGGAGTGCCAGTTTGCCACCACAAACCAGCACGTATCAGTATGAATAGAGAGCATAACAGAGAACACTTTTTCATAAGTACACTTAAACTATCAAATTATTATTTTATTCTTAAATATATATTATATATTCTCAAATCTCAATGTTGAAATTATTATGAAATAAGAATAAAAGAAAAAACAAAGAAACATATCATAAAGGCCGTGGCCCGTGGGGACTGTCCACTTTTTTTGTGCCAAGAAACATGCTATGTGTCAAGTTTATACAATAAAAATTCTGTGTGCCCTCGTATTTTAATATAACCTTTCTATAAAGAAAATAATTAGGAGTAGCACATTAGCAGTAAATGATTTGATTTATTGCTATGGAAATGCTCCTATTGGCCACTTATATTCCTCCAATAGCGATGGTCGGTTATTAAACTTGGGTTTATACGTGCTGCATCATGCATTCCCTTCACTTGGCTTGGCTTAGCTTACGAGAAGCTCCATTGTTGTATAGTTATTAATATTACTCAGAAAATAGCAGAGTGGCTTGGCTTGTGACTAATTAACTAAGTTCATATGACAATTTATTAAATAATAATTTATAGATGATAGCTTATTATAAAGTGTAAAAAGTGGGTTGATTTTATATATTTATATCGCTTTTTAGAAGCTATAGTTCTATTTTAATCCTGATAAATGTGTCCACTCTATAAGTCGCCAGGCTAATTTTATTCATGAAAGCGAACTTTTGTTTATTTTACAATAAATTCATGTTGGCCATTAGACTGCAAGCAAATCAAATGTATTAATAAGTGAGGTTTCATACTTTGATTGTATTATCGAGACTTTTTCACTTTGCCAAAGGTTTACCAATATTATTATAATATAAGATGAACAGCAATATGGCTTCATTGAACTGACTGATTCTGGTAATCTGGTTTTATTATTATTTATTTGTATTTTTTTCTTAAGTGGGAGATGGTATTTGTGGCTTTTAAGTTTTAGTGAGTGTAGAAGACGCACAAAATAAAGGTGGGCCGTGCCGCCGTGGGACCTCCTTAGAGTAATGAAAGACCAACGTTATATCAAACAAGTTCTGGTCAACGTTGTCCACGGCAGTTAAGGAAGTTGAAGTTAATTGGCGGCTCATTTTCAGTTAACTAGTTAATCTATATCAATTTAAACAATAACTCATGATAATTTATAAAACTAGAAGGATCATATTTTGAGTAAATAATGTAACATGCTGTTGAATGATTGAACATAACCTAAAGTAAAAATGCTTCCACGAATTGTCCTAATATTATGTTTTCTAACACATTACAGGTTAATTAGGTACATATCACGGTCAGCATTGCTTTCTCTTTTTCAAGCCATTGTCATCGTGAACTAAACTCACATCTTAAGATATATGATTAATACACATGGGATTTCTCAATGTCTTTATGAAACTCACAACTATATTATTATTTAAAAAAAAAAAATGCTTCTTTAGGTAGCTTATATTAAGACAAAATTTACCTCACTGTTTTTGGATACGCGAAAAAAACGTGTTAAAATAAAAGCTAATAAGAGAAAAAAATCACGAAATATAATAATGTATCTCATGCTTGGGTAAATATTATTTGTATGGCACTATTTATGGATATCTTTTAATTATACAGATTGATTTTATAATTAATGTAGAATCCTTTTCCTTGTCAATCCTCATTAATTCCGAATTATATTATAATTAAAAGAAAAAAATGAAGAAAATAATCATGCTTATGTAAACAGGAGACGCAAGACTTATCACCGTCAACATATATGTATTTTTACTATTTATATGGTAATTAAAGGTCACTGGAGGAGAGCATATATATACAGTATATGCGTTACCTTTACTTTTTACCCCAATATTTAATGCTAGCAGTAGCAGGATAATATTTTTCTAATTTAGAAGTGGGTATTATATTTAAAAAAAAAAAAAATTAAAACAAGTCCAAAAATAAATAAAAAATTAAAACGGGAGTCCCGTGAGCATACGAAGTCAGTCAAATCCTTGATCTACGTCTATAAATAACAGCCCTCGTTGTTATACTCCGGCACTTTCTAGCTTTCACTTATTTAAACAACGCTTCCTCGCATAAACTTCAACAACGGATTCAAGGTACGCTTTATTTCCAGTTTCTTCGTTTGTTTTTACTCATAACACACGCATAATCAAATTCTTATTCTTTCCTCCCCTCTCTCGCTTGAAAAATTATTGTTCTTATATTGTTGTATAAGGATTTGATTTTGTACAGAATTGTACATTCTAAAAGATGCAGTCTGAGTTACGATATGCTTATAAAGTAGTTCTAATTCAATCAAAGAAAAAAAAATCGTGTTCTGAAGCCATTTATTATCAGTTATTTGCGCTTTGCTTTTTGTGGTTTGCCGCTAGGTATTTTGATCGCCGAGGGGAGAAAAAAGCACTTTACATGTATTTGCCATTCCTGCGCGAACTCGTATTTTGTTATTATGCGGAATGTTTTTCAATTATTAATTGAAAAAGTTATTATTTAAGGGGTATTTCTTAGTCAACCAGTAAATAGAATAGAAAAATAAAAATGAACATAGCCAGTTTATAGAATACTTAATACATGAAAGCATGATGTTTTCTCGTGCACTTAGCTATTCTGGTTTATATTATTTTGACTAACACCTCCATGAGTATCAAGTAGTGTCGGCCGAAACAAATTAAAAAAGAGAATAGTATAGTATAGACATTATATTATAGTCTGCTTTATTGGTTTTGCCTGGCGGCATATTTTATTCGTTAAAAGATTATCTTAAAGTTCTTACTATTATTAATACTATTATAAAAGAACAATGCATTAATTAAGGTAATCCTAATTCTTAATTGCATATCCTTTTTATGTATGCATTAATTAAATTTCCTTTTATACAGATTTTAAAACTTTAGAATAGAAGGTTCTAACTAGTTTTAGTAATATATCTTCACGCTTTAATATAGTGTGAGTAAATTAATGCATTAGTTTAAATTTGAAAAATATCCCTAAATGTTTTTTTTTTTAAATCTTAATTTGAATTAAGTTGACATTAATCATATTTCCAACTCTCTTTAATGAACATTTCCATGTATGCTTTATGCTTTACTTATTCATTACTTAGCAAGAAACTCCTATGACAAAGCTGCTCAAACCATGCATGCATGATCGGACATGTAATAAAGTACTCCCGGTAATTAATACAATTAGAAAAAATTGAGACAGGATTATCAGGAAATGGGAGCACTGTCACCGTCACAACCTTCAAATTTGGAATCGATCTTGCTGTCAACAAGATTCCATGAGAACGAAGAAGCTATGTTGGATTCTTACAGTGAGTGGTTGGTAAGCTCACGTGTTTAATATTAATCGTTTACTATGTTAGATTGGATGTATCATTAGTTATCTTTTTGGTTATGCTCTATGCAGTTATTATAATATGTTTCTGGTGGATTGCAGGTCAAGCATCCCTCTGCACTGGACTTATTTGAGCAGATGATTGAAGCAGCGCATGGAAAAAAGATAGTTGTGTTTTTGGATTATGATGGAACATTGTCACCCATTGTACAAGATCCAGATAAAGCTTTCATGTCGGATAAGGTAATTTTCTTCTATCATATTGATTTTGTATATTTAACATGCATATATGACAACAGTACTTGATTCTTCCATCATCAAATTAAGCAAACTAATCATCAAATATGATGTTAAATTACTGCAGATGCGTTCTGCTGTAAATGAAGTTGCCAATTTTTTCCCTACCGCAATTGTTAGTGGAAGGTGTCTTGAAAAGGTAGATTCAGTTAATGGTTTCCCTCAGACACCACACAAACTACATCAATTAATGCTAATGGCAAAATTTATATTCATTACCTTAATTCATGCGTATATACGTATTTTCGATGCTGTAGGTGAATGGATTTGTGCAACTGAAGAATGTGGCTTATGCTGGAAGCCACGGGATGGATATATTAACTCCGTTCGGCTCTTTGAACAATGAAAAGCACCCACATGAATCTAGAAGTGTTGATAAACAGGTTCGTTAATTTGTTGCCTACGCAGATTTGCTTTTCTGAATCTCAATCACATCATCATTTGACCATTAGTTTTACTCTATAGGGTAATGAAGTTGTTCACTTTCAACCCGCACAAGAATTTTTGCCAACAATCCAAGAGGTATACTTGATATATATACTGAATTATTTTTCTTCATTTCACATGGTGATATCTGATGATTAAAATTACAAACCAGTTGTATCTTTCTTCTTTCTCTCGATGTGCTTAATCTCTTGTTGTAGATAATTCAGGTGCTGGAAGAAAGACTCAAGACTGTAAAAGGTGCAATTGTAGAAGACAACAAGTTCTGCATTTCTGTACACTTTCGTCGTGTACATGAAGAGGTAATTAAACAACCCGCACAGTTAACGACATCATAACTATATAAAACAATCCTCAAATCTTAAGATGATAAATTTGCTTTTTGAACTTTAGGATTTGGACACCCTGAAAGAAATGGTAAACTCTACCGTGGAAGCTTACCCAAATTTTCGCGTATCCGGTGGTAAAAAGGTATTCTAAGCTGTTTTAATATGCAGGATGTATAATTATAAATGAATATCAAGAGTGTAAAGGAATTCCTTTATCATTTTGTGGATTAATTACTTAATCAGGTACTGGAGATACGGCCTTGTATTAATTGGGATAAAGGTCGAGCTTTGGAGTATTTGCTCGACACTTTTGGGTTCAGCAGTTGCGGCGATTTCCTTCCCATATACATAGGAGATGATAAAACTGATGAAGATGCTTTCAAGGTACAAATGATGAATCAAACTTATCACATATTTATATTGATGTAGGGCTAAGTTATAATTTTCGAAGCTGAACAATTGCAGGTTATTCAACGCATCGGACGTGGTTATGCCATTATTGTTTCTTCCATTCCTAGAGAAACAAAAGCTTCTTACTCTCTACGTGATCCAGGCGAAGTCATGTCATTCTTGATTCGACTTACAAAGTGGAAAAAACCCTCAACAGATTGCATAGATTTATTAAAGATATGAAAGTATAGATGCATATATTTTGCGGGGTCTTAAGTATTACCCACTCAAAGCTAATTTGCTTATTTTTATTGGCAAATTAGCCCAAATGAGATATGATAGAGTCATCAGGTATTTAATCGATGACCTAGAAAAGATGTTATTAGAAGTTAGACCCCTTATGTAATTATATAAGGTAAATAAAGTAATAACAAAATCAGAAGGACCAAGGAGAGGAGGATTAAATGTTTTTTCTTTTCTTGAAATTGTTATTGGTAAAATTAATGGCTATATTCTTTTCAATTTGAAAATTCATTCGATATATTATATTTGAGAAAAATTCATACAAAACTTAACGAGTTTGTCTGACGGTCAACGATGTTTACTCTCTTTATTAGGTTTGTGTGTTCGAACCTTGTGGTCACTTCCACGTTGTTAGCCACACCAAGATTTTTCTTTTTATATCTATATAAATAAATTTGTATAATAAATTCTGATCTCGTAATAATTGAATATTCAAATAAAATTTAAAATACCATAAAATAGTGCGGATAAAGAATCAAACAACTAAAATGATGTCGTTTTGATTGTCCGGCAAACCCTAAAGGGCCTAAACCCGAAGTCACACTCTCACCTCTCAAAATCAAATCTTAAACCCTAAAAACCCTTATCCTGCCTTTTGCTCTATCCTCCAAACACAAGGTATTGGCATTTCGAACCGGCATCATTTCAGGTCGTGCTATGCCCATTAAACTATTACCGCATCTCCGGTTCCTCAATCCTTCCCTCCCAATCACCCGTTTTCCTTTAATGAATCTTAAACCCTCCATTCACACTTCTGAAGCCATAACCAGTTTGCGTCAGGCCTTCCCTTTTAAACTCAAATACCAAGGGTTCGCCACCCACGGTAACGACCAACACCTTCAGCACGGTGTGCGGAAATTATCGACTCGGCCGTTCCGACCCAGGACCGGGTCTATCTCTAGGTCCGAGTTCTCTCGTGATCATGAGGGAGGTCGAGGAGAAATTCGCGCTTCCAAGAGTTTAATTGAGGACGAGGCTGAACTTAGTGACTGGGTTAGTGAGTTAGGGCCGGACTCATCCCGTGGTAAACACATTAACAGAGACAAGGAGGAGTCAGATTTCAGGAAGCCTCGTGGTGGAGATAGAGACTCTTTTTTGATGAAGAGGAGAAGAGAGAGTAACTCGGACGGGTTGTACGAGTCTAATAGGCGAGTGAATCGGAACTCAGCTAACTCATTTTCAAGGAATAATAATTCGAGGTTTAATAGTAATTTTGAGAATGGTAATGGGGAGCCTTATTCGCGGAAAAAGAATAGTGGGTTTGAGAGAGGAAGTGTTAATTCTTTTACAGAGAAGAGAAGTGAGAGGAAGGACAGGGGGAGCTTCAAGAAAGAAGGGAAAATTTTCAAAAGAGAAAGGCGTTTTTCCGATGATGATATTGGTGATGATGTGAATGAGGAGAGAGGGAGAATTATGAGTGGTATAGGGGATTTGCTTAATGAGAAAGCTAGTGATGTCGATGATGTTAGTGATGTTGATGATGATGATGATGATAGTACTTTCAGGAAGAATGCCAGGACTTCAATTGGATTAGATGATGAGGGTGGTGAGACGAAAAGTTCACCGGGGAAATATGATTCTTATTTGAGTGAGAGCAGGTATGTCGTAGGGTTTTGTTTAACTTTCACCTATTATTTGCACTTTGCTTCCACTAAAAGATGACCAGTGGAGATCGTGACCGTCATATTTGGTTACATCAGTTGAACCTGGAAAACTAATGTTAACTAATTCTTAGTGGCCAATGTTATTTAGCTCTATACTTACTTCACTACTCTTTTCATTTTAAACACCTGACATTTTGGATCCTGCAGATTCGATCAATGTTCACTCTCCCCCTTGTCACTGAAGGGAATCAAGGATGCTGGATATGAGAAGATGACTGTAGTACAGGAGGCATCTCTTCCTGTAATACTCAAAGGTTAAAATCTTTCTAATGTATTATAAGATTTTTTATTTATTTATTTATTTTATATATATATTTCTACTTTTTTTTAGGATTCTTTGTGTGGATTGCTTGTCCACTCTTTAAATTCAATCCTTGTAGATTACGATTCCTTTCAAGTTAATTTTTGCTATGTTTTGTCAACTATTGTTTAAGACTATACTATTATACAGAATTTACATTCAGAAACTTGTTAAGGAGAGAGAGATTTGTAACCTAATATTTCAAATCAAAAGAATGGAAAAACCTGAATCGTGGACGCCCTTTCTTATCTCCTCTGCCAGAAGGAATAATATGAAACTGCGGATCTTTACTAGGAAAGTTTTCATTGATTTGATAACTGGTGGAAACTCCTGATTAAGAAAGATAATGAGATTGATAGTGAGTTTGGTATTATGTCAGTTTGATATTCTCTTGTTTTGAACTGTGACTGTTTTGAGCTACTGTGGTCGTTAAAATGATTAGAGTTCACTAAAGTAGCTTTCATATTCTTATATATGGTTCTTTTGATTTTATTTGATGCCTGTTCTATTCACTTTGCTTATTCTGATTGATACTGTTTCTCAGGTAAGGATGTTCTGGCTAAGGCTAAAACAGGCACTGGAAAAACGGTAGCATTTTTGGTAAGACTATTAAAAAAAAAAAAGGATTATCTTATGTTAGTCTATACACCAAGGCAAGATGTTTTGCTGAATCCTAACAATAATTAGTGCCCTTTTATGGTTTTTAGAGGTTTTCTAATTATCTTGGTTTGCATTTAAATCATCAAAAGTTTGGGTCTCCTTTCTTAAGATTTACATATTGTTTTAAAAACTAATAGCACACTTCCACTTTGAAAAATTACCAAAAACCATGCATAACTTTTAGAAAATAAGAAAATTAGTTGTGTAGGGATGTTATTATAGTTTGGTTACTTCTGTATGTTCATTTTTGGCATTAAATTTATACTGTGATTTTGATAGAGATTCAGAATTCGAAACAGAAATAAGAATATGAGTAATACTAGCCTTACAAAGAGGCATACAAAGAGTCAAATCCAACCCTTGAAATTCATGATTGCCTCTTTCTCTCTCTCTTTTTCCATTTTTTCAAGGGTTGGATTTGACTCTTTGGATGACTCTTTATATGCCTCTTTGTAAGGCTAGTATTACTCTAAGAATATTTCCAGTTTATGAATTCCAATTTGATGTCATCTTAGAATCTGTAGGAAGCAAAGGTTCTCTTTGTTTTCTGCACCTAGGATAGGAGTTTGGACACGAGTCATTCAGTTTGTTTACTTGAGAAGTTCTTTGTTTTCAGCTCCCTTCTATTGAAGTTGTCACCAAATCTCCTCCTGTTGGTCGTGATCAAAAGCGGCCCCCAATTCTTGTGCTCGTAGTATGCCCTACTCGAGAGCTTGCAACTCAAGCTGCTGCAGAAGCTAACACACTACTTAAGTATCATCCATCTATTGGAGTTCAAGTTGTGATAGGTGGTACAAGACTTGCTATGGAGCAAAAACGGATGCAAGCAACCCCTTGCCAGGTGAGCTTCTTATTGCATCATAGGGCATGTTTCATATTTAATTTGATGCCTGTCATGTGTCGGAGCCTTATAGGAGATTTGATAGGCCAAATATGAATCAGTCTAACAACCTCTAATTGTTTGACACTTTTTTCAATTGTTGACATGCATCGGGCACAAAGTGAGCAAATTAGACTGTCTTGGTAGAATGATTGTGTTAAATTAAGAGATTCTTAGCCATCAACCAATCAAAACAGGATCCCCAGAGCATGTACTGCATATAATATTGCATGGTTATTGACTATAATATCTGGTTAGTGACACCTTGTAGTCAAATCCATCATGAAATAGTAGGGATATTGTTAAACTTTCACACATTCAAAATCTCAGATTCTTGTCGCGACTCCTGGAAGGCTCAGAGACCATATTGAGAATACTGCAGGATTTGCAACAAGGTTGATGGGCGTGAAAGTTCTCGTACTTGATGAAGCCGATCAGTTATTGGACATGGGATTTCGAAAAGACATTGAGAATATAATTGCTGCTGTTCCAAAAGAACGACAAACACTCTTGTTTTCTGCCACAGTTCCTGAAGAGGTTTAGTTCTGACCTTGGGTTTGTTTTAGCGTGCTATTTTAGATTGAAAGAAAATACTAAAGGTGCTATATGTTGTGAAGGTTCGTCAGATTTGTCATGTTGCTTTGAAAAGAGATCATGAATTCATCAATACTGTTCAAGAAGGAAGTGAGGAAACACACTCACAGGTTGGCCTTCTGATGACCCTTCCCAGTAACTAAATTTTTTTCTTGGTACTCTAATTCTTAAAATGTTGGATCATTTCAGGTCAAACAGATGCATTTAGTTGCTCCACTAGACAAGCACTTCCCCCTCCTGTATGTTCTTCTGAAAGAGCATGTTGCAGATAACGTTGACTATAAGGTACAGACGCGGTCCGTAAGTCTGTCATTCAAACTTTCTTTGTTGGATTTTCTGTAGAAGTTAAATTTCCACTTTCCAGTTCTTGTTGGAGTATGATTTAATATTTATGCACATGCATGGTCACTGACCCATGGTTTAGCATTATGGGAGTTATAAAGGAGATTTGGGCGTCTAAACTTTCTTTAGCCAGTATTTATTATGATTTTTTTTAATGTCACAGAAATCGGCATCTTTAATTTGTCCTCTTTTGGGCAAAATGTCCACTGATTTGTGCAGGTTCTTGTATTTTGCACCACTGCCATGGTAACTAGATTGGTTGCCAACCTTCTGGGTGAGCTGAAGCTGAATGTTAGAGAGATACACTCTAGAAAGCCACAGAGTTACAGAACCAGGGTTTCTGATGAATTTCGGAAATCAAAAGGTCTCATTCTTGTGACTTCTGATGTATCTGCTCGTGGGGTTGATTACCCTGATGTTACACTTGTCATTCAGGTAATAGGACACAATCTAAAAGCATTAGTTCAATTCATTTCTTACAGAAGTTCAAACATTTTGG